AGATCTGAAGCCCTCTTCTAATCTCCACAGTCACGGTATGGTACACAAATATACATGCATACAAACACCCAAATACATAAGATAAAAATGAATAACTACAAAAAGAAACTGAAAGTTGTTACATTCAACTAAGTAAAGATGTGTTACATTTGTTTGTGTTGCACAATATTTGTTTAACTATGTAAAGATGTGTTACTGTGTCTGCCTAAGGCACCTGAGTGCTCTAATAAAAAGCTGAGGGATAGTATCTACAATATTTATATTTCTTAATTTTTTTAGTTTAGTTACTATGGAAAATATTTTAAAAAATAGTTGTTTTATCTCTACATTTTAAATTTTTACATTAATTCATTTGTGTGGGTGGCACATGTATGCCACAAATCGTGTGTATATGTCTGAGGACAACTTGTAGGTTCTGGGGGTTGAGCTTAGGTTGTCATGCTTGGTAGTAAGCATTCCTCCTATTGAGCCATTCCACCAGCCACTACATCTCTACATATTTATCAAATACTTTTTGTTGTTGTTTGAGACAGGGTCTCACCATGTACCGTACCTCTGATTGTCCAGGTTGGCTTTAGATGATCTGCCTGCCCCTGCCTCCCAAGAGTTCTGGCATTAAAGTGCATCACCAGGCCAGGCTTAATTAAGTTATTGATACAAGTACTCTTGTCATAATGAGGGTGCTGCAGCCATTTTGTTGCAGTACATGATATTGCTGCTTTTACCTGTAGTTTTGATCCAAAGACGGAAACTCTGCGCGCGCGTGCGCGCGCGCGTGTGTGTGTGTGTGTGTGTGTGTGTGTGTGTGTGTGTGTGTGAGAGAGAGAGAGAGAGATGCCTCACTAATTAATTCAGGCCAAGTGTTGGGTCCAAACCCTCAATGTTCTTGCCTCTAAGAAGCTAGGATATGAATATGTGCCACCCTTCCTAACTAAAAGCTTTATTTAATTCTTGGTCTTACATTTAATTTCATTTATTTATTCTTAAGATTTTATTTTTAAATTATGTATATGTTTGCATGTGTTTGTGGTTTGTGCACATGAGAATAGGTGCCCTTGGAGGCTAGAAGAGGATAGTGTATTCTCTAGAGCTGGAGTTGCAGGCAATTGTAAGCCACCTAATATGGAAGATGGGAACTGAACTTTGGTCCTGTGCACGAAAGGTACCTGGTCCTAAGCATGGTCCTCACTATGGAGAGATCTCTCCAGCTCCTTCGAGAACTGTAATATTCAGTGTAGTTGTTGAGTGTTATACGATGCATCTCTAGATACCATGTTTTTTCCCTTTAATAAATTACACCAGGATACTACTGACTATCATTCTCCACATAGACTAAATCCTTTGTTTTGGTATGAGCTCTTTTGACTACCAGATTGCTAACATTGATAAAATTATAATAGTCACTTTAGTCTTTGTAACAAAGTCACAGTAAAACCAGAAATGTTTCCCTTAGTCTTTAGGTGCTGCTTTGTAGTAGCAATATCAGAATTGTGCTAGCCTGGAAGGAACTCAGAACTTTTTGATCAGGGTGTGTGTGTGTAGGGGGGGGGTATTATCTCTTTAAACCCAGCCAAATTTGGGAACTCCATCTTTGCCCTCTTCTTCCAGAGATGTTCCACACTAGTCATGTGATCAGGATTTCTGACTAGTTCTCAAGGTTTATCATAAACTAAGTTCACAATATTGATCCCCAATGAAACCCATGTATAGTCTCCAACATTCTCACTGTGCTAATTTCATGCAGTTGGGCTTGCTAACGTGCGGTTATAGCCTAACATTTCAGGCCAATATCTTGTAGCTGCTCAACACCTCTCTCTTTTAGTTAGCTGTCTGAATCTTGGGAATTTATTTTTATTTTGCAGGTGGAAAAAATAAACATGTTATATAGGAATTAACAGAGATACCAGATTTTAAAATCAGGACTACTTGATTGTAAAGTGATAGTTTCAGCATAACTCTGTCCTCCTCCATGCTGTTCCCAGGTACTCTCAAGTTAGCTGTGTGGCTTCCATAGTCCTTTAGCGATGCACCTCACAGCTGTACATACACACTTAGGTTTTCCGTTATTTCATTTGTGTAGTTCTTGTCTGGCAAAGTAGTTTACAGGATACTCTCAAGGCCTTTTTTTTTTTTTTTTTTTTTTTTTTCCCGTGGATCTGTTTAAATATCCCAGGAAATGAAGGAAAAGATAATTTGTACTTTTTTTTTTTTTTAAACTCTCTGCTCATGGGGTCCTGTCACTCAGCTCCTGAATAAATACACAGAGACTTATTCGTACCTATGAATACCCAGCCTTACCTTGGTTTGTTTCTAGCTAGCTATTCTTAACTTATCCTGCCTATATTTTGCCTCTGGGATTTACCTTTCTCTATTCTATATACAGTTCTTTACTTCTTACTCCTTAGCGGGCTGGGTGGCTGGCCCCTAGGGTCCTCTTCCTGTCCTTTTGTTCACTCCTCTTATCTCCTTCTCTCTCATTTATCTCTGCCTGCCAGCCCCGCGTATTGGCCGCTCAGCTCTTTATTAGACCAATCAGGGTGTTTTCGACAGGCATAGAGCCAAATAAATGCAATACAAAAGACGACTGCAACACATCTTTGCACCGTTAAACAAACATCCCGCTTCGTATCAGTGTAAGGTGTGTGCTGTACTGCAAACCAAAATACCAAAAAAAAAAAAAAAAAAAAAGAACCTCCCTCTCAAGGTAAGCTTAACTCTGGGTGCTCATGTCAGGAGCTTTTCTGGCGCCCCTTGCAAAATTCAGGTCTGTGCAAACCCCGAAGAGCTTGTTAGCCATGTCGACTCCCCCCTCGCTCAAGCGCACCAGCAAGCGTGGGCGCGCTGGGAACAGCACCTACTGTGGTCTTGCCGGCCTTCCCTTTGACAGAGGCTCCGGGGGAGGGGAGGGACTCACAAGAGAGCCTGAGAGGGCCCCCCCCAGCCTTGCGCAGTGACGCGCGTCGGGTTGCCAGGGGGCGGGGCTGCGCGCGGAAGGGGCGGGGCGGAGGCCGGCGGCGGCGCAGGGGCGGGCGGGGCGGCGCAGGGGCGGGCAGGGCGGGGCGGGGCGCCCGGCGTATTATGGGATGCGGCGGTGGAATGGCGCTGGGCGCGTGATTTTGAACAAACCCGGGTCTGTGTTTCGGAGGCGCCGCCGCCGCCGCGGCTGCTGGGAGCCCCGGGAGCGCGGCGCGAGGAGGAGGCGGCGGCGCCGCCGGCTCGGGTGAGTGTCAGCCCGGGACACCCGGGCTGAGCTGCGGGGACCGGCGCCGGGCCGGGCCCGCGGGGCGGTCGCGCGGCCGGAGAGCGCCGGCCGGCTCCCGGGCAGCTGGGCCGGTGGGCCGCGGCGGGCGGAGGGGTCGTCGGGGCGCGGCCACGAGCCGCCGGCGCCCGAGAGCGTGGCTGTCACTCGGCGGGGCGGCTCGGGAGGAAGGGCCTGGCGGCTGTTGACAGGCTCTCTGCGCGGCTCGGGAAGCCGCCGGCGGCCCCGGGCTTCTGGGAACCGGTTTTGCTGCTGTGTCATTTCGTACCAGCGCCTCCTCTCGCTGCTGCCCGCCGCCGCGTTCTTCCTACGCCCCTTTGTATGGGCTTCTCTGGGTGCGTGTCCGTTTCCCTCGCGAAGCCCACCAGCCAAATGTCACAATGTTCCCGCGGTGCACGGGGGAAGGGAGCGGGCTGGGACTTAGCCTGGCCAAGCAACGGTAAACAACCATCCGAGTGCCGGTGGACCCGGCTGTTGGCAGGAGAATAAAGTTGGAAGATGAAGGAGCTGGGGACCCCTTACTTCCACCCTCAGCCTTTAGCGGGCTGTATGTAAAAACGCACCGGGAGTGGGTGGGACAGCTCTTGATTAAGCCCGAGGCTGCTGACTTATATATGGAGTTGACATCCACACAAGGTAGGGGAATGAAATGGCTTCTGCTTCTACCTCATTCTTAGGTAAACTTAAGACAGTTGAGTGGCCCTGCTCGCAACCCCGAGATTCTGTTTGCTCGTTTCAAGTAGGCCTTTTAGAACGTATATTGGGACTGAATGATAAATAATACAGCTTGAACTGGCAATAAGGCTTTCTGAAACTAAACCGCTGTGTTTTGGAGCATACTGGTCCCATTAAGAAGCCTTGCAGCGTATGTGTTCTTGTTCCTTAGATGATTAAGCATTACTTGTATCCTCTTTTGGCTACTTATTAAACTAAACGATGAGAGGAACTGGGAGGGGTGGATAGGTAATTCCGGAATCTTGTTCTCAAGCAAGCTGTTTCACTGCATCGAACAAGTGTATCAGCAGCAGACGGGTTTTAATTTGGAAACTTAGATCCTAAAACCACTTGGCAAGGTGTTGTAGCGAAGAGCTGTGTGTCTTCTATATGTTAGAAGTTCAATCACTTTAAATCAGTACACTTTAAATTTAGTGGCACTTGTACAACTTAAGCCAACGACAAATTGACATAATGGTGTTCGTGAACCGAAGTGGCCAAAGTGAAGAGGAAAATAGTTAAGAACGTTATTCAAAAAAAAAAAAAAAAAAAAAAAGCTCCGATCGGCGCCAGTAATTAAGGGGTGCCCGAGAATCAGGCATGCATACGGAAATAGCTATACTGTCAAAGTAGTTCTGTGGGTGGAGTAGAATGCCAAAGTTGCTGAGTGACGTTGAAGGTGTCCAATGACTCTGAAATGTGCACGAAACACTGTCTACCATCTCAAGTGATTTTCTGGAAATGAAAGAGTTCGGGTTCTTTACTGTTCTTGTGTCAGATTCCGTATGGCTTGCCCTTCTACCAAATGCCTGGGGCTTGGAATCCCGCAGGTATGACGGCTCCCCTTGGCGTTCCCGCGGAGTCGCGGGAACTGGGTGTCCGGTCCTGGGGTGATAGGGCTGGCAAGGCTAGCCGGTGTGCATTTGAAGGTTGGCGGGGCGGGCGGGAGGTTTCCCCGGATATGTGGGTGTGTGCTGCTCGGGAAGGCGGGCCGGGGCGGGAGCAGGAGGAAGGGGGAGGTGACTGGCGGCAGCGGCGGCAGCCGGGGCTCGGCTGTCGGGGGAAGCTACTGAGCTGTGATGGTGATGACGAGGTGAAAATGGCGGATCTTTCGAAATACAATCCCGGCCCCTGACATACCAGAGGCGGTGGCCGCGGCGACATCGCTTCCCCGGCTCCCTCCTGGCTGCCCGGGTATTCTGTAGAGCTCCTTTTCGGGCAAACTGGGAAAGGAAGCAGCTGGACAGAGCTCCGTGCACAGGCAAAACAAGCACTGCCCGGACTCGGAATTGCCCGGGACCTTCTGGAGCCCGCTCCTCAGAGCCGGAGGGTGGAGAAAGCGGCAGCCTCTGGAGGTAGAGGAGAAGGGGGGGGGGGGGTGCCCAGGGGCTCTCGGTCTACAGAGCTCTTTATTTGGAAGCTGGGGGAGGAAATGCGTCTCGGATCAAGAATGACTTGTCCGGAGTGCAAAGAATCAGTAGCCTCATAATGACATCAACATTATTATTATTATTATTTTTAGTACCTAAGGCTGCTGCCGAGGCCTAGAGGAACCGCTAGTACTTATCATGATTTCCTGATAGAATACTGAAAATACCCACTCAGTGGGGGTTGGCAGGTGGTGGTCAGCAGTTTAGAGACTTGTTTGTTTGGGGAGGAGAGCATTGGCATTTTCTTCCACATTTAATGTTGGTGACAGAGCATAGTCTAACTTGTTGGGGTGTGGATCCTTACCTATTTTTAAACATATGGACCAGTGTTGTAGCAATCAGGAAAATTTTATATGGTGCTGTCATCCTTGGGGTGGCACCTTTGAACCCGACACTAGGCAAATAACAATTTGATACTGTAAATCATATTTTCTGCCTAGTTTTAAATGGAATTTCTCCTCTGTCCCCATCTGATTTGATGAATTCGGAGAGCAAAGTTATGGAAGATTTTATAATAGGCTGTATAGTACAAGTGAGATTCCATTGGGAGCTCTATTCTGCTGAGTTTACGTTCACTGTCAGAGGAATGATGGCTGGATGCAAGCTTTGGGCACATTGAAGTGATAAAGATATTGAAGCCTGTTATGGTGCAAATGCAGTGTCTTTGTTCAGGTAACCGGAGCACTGTTACCTTGGTTATAAGGCTTGATTGACCTTATAATGCCTGGCTTACTTTTGTCAACCTGATGGTCTTTGCCATCTTAGGCAGTGCTATGTGGTTCTTAGGCAGTCTTTTTGAATAAAACAGGAATGATACTGAAAGGTTACATGTTATACAAAATTTTATGCAATGGTTTGGTTTTTTTCTTCAACTTAAGTGGTAGAAAGTTGTTGGGTTAATGGCCTTAAATTATGAGAGTAAACAAGTTAATATTTAAGAAATGCCTGCTAGTAATATTTATGAGTAGCAATAGATTTTCTTTCTTAGGTTGTCTACAGAGTAATATGACAGAACTTTCTATATTAGCATATGGTATATTATGTATATACAGAGCAAGTATTTTGTCTGAATGTGTATTTATAGTTTAGACTTTGGCTTTCACTCACTACAAGAATGAGAAGCCAAAGAATGTTTTACAGTAAATGTCTGAAAGGTACTTAGAAGATTTAATGGTTGTTTTTCATTAAAAGTATAATTTGAGGGGTCAGCCAAATAGATGGCTCAACAGATAAAGTCATTGGCCATGTCAGCAATCCTAAACCTGAGTTCAGTCCCCTGGGCCACACATGGTGATAGGAGAATACCACTGTCACAAGTTGTTCTCTGACTTCCTCATGGCAAGTGTGCTCCCCCAACAAATAAATGGAAAAAAATAACAAAATTGTGGCTGAAGAGATAGCTCATCCATTAAGACTGTGACTATCCAGAGTTCCCAGCACCCATGTGCCACAGCCTCACAACTCCTTTTAACTCCAGCTCCAGGGAATCTGATGCCCTCTTCTGACCTCCTTGAGGACCTGCACATATGTGGCATATGTACACATACATAAAAAAAAAAAATCTTTTTTTTTAAAAAGAAGAAAACATTACATGTGTATATACACACACACACATACATACACACACACAAAATTTTATCTTGCATTACCCGGTAGGAATTTGATTCTTTAAAAAATTTAAAATTGAATTATTCTGTGATTTTTTTTTTTTTTGTTCTTCATTAACTAGCATACTTAGTAAGAATAAGAATTTTTAAAACTTAAAATGCTTTGTCATTGATTTTCTGTTTTGTGATGGAATCTTGCTGTGTATCTCAGGCTAGCTTTGTGTGTGTGTGTGTGTGTGTGTGTGTGTGTGTGTGTGTGTATGTGTGTAACTCTCTGGAGCAAGGGATGCAGGTGATTGTGGGCTGCTGCCGTGTGGGTACTGGGTCCCTTGGAAGAGTAGTTACTGCCCTTGACTGCTGAGCCCATGCTCAGGCTAATTTTAACTACCAACTCTGTTGTCTTTTTGTTGATTCTTAGTGATTACCCCTCTCTTCCCATTTTTAGATAGTCTTTTTCTGTAGCTACATTGGTCTGAAATTCGTGGTGGCACAGACTGGCCTCTAACTCAGAATAGTCCTTCTGGCTCCCAAGTGCTGGAATTACAGGTATGAGCCACCATGCCTGGTTTGTGATACCTTTATAAACTGCCGCTCTCCCCCTCCCCCTTTTTCCTTGTTTTTGAGACAGGATGTAGCCCTGACTGTCCTGGAACTCACTATGCAGAACAAGCTGGCTTTGAACTCACAGAGGTCCATCAGCTTCAGAGTACTGGAATTAAAGGCATATGCCACTGTACCCATCTATGATTACCTTTAAAATTTTTTTGAAATTATAACATTTCCTCTTTCTCTTTTTCCTCTCTCTAAAACCTCCAAAATACTCCTTGCTCATTTTCAAATTTGTGACCTCCTTTTTTTCATTAATTGTTGTTACATAGGGGTATGTGTGTGTATTCCTAAATACACAAATACAACCCACTAAGTCTATAGAATTACAGGTATTTGTATGTGTGTATTTTCAGGGCTGACCTTTTGTTGTTGGCTAACTGATGAGCTCTTCTCTAGAGAAAACTATTATCTCAATCCCAACATTCCTTGCATTATTACCTTTTTTTAATTTTAAGTTTTTTGGAGACAGCTTTTCTGTTATAGCAGCCCTGGCTGCCCTGTCCTACTCTCTTTGTAGACCAGGGGGTAATTACCTTTTAAAACTCAGTGTGTATGTGTGGTTTTCTTTTTTGTTTTGTTTTGTTTTGTTATTTTTCAAGACAGGGTTTCTCTGTGTAGCCTGGCTGTCCAGGAACTACTGGAGCAGGCTGGTCTCTAACTCACAAAGGCTCATCTGCTTCTCTCCAGAGTGCTGGAATTAAGGCATGTGCCACCACTGCCCAGCACTAAAATTCAGTCTTTAGATCACTTTAGATAATTTAAGTGTATTAGAATGACTGAAAGAAGAATTCGCCTCTGGAGAAAGTCAGGTGTCTCTCTTGTTTGAGAAGAACAATACAGATGTTTTGCTTGTTTTGGTTGGTGGTGGTTTTGTTTTGAGACAGGGTTTCACTATAGCTCAAGCCAGTCTGGAACTCTGGAAATGGAGAGTCTTCTTGCCTCAGTTTCCCCAGTGCTAAGATTACAGATGTTTGGTATCACACCTACTTTAGAGTTCCATCATAATTTGTCAAACAGGTTGAACACCCTTAATCTGATCCAAAATGTTCACTCAAAAACTTTTCGGTTTTAGAGCATTTTTGATATTGATGTAGGATAGCAGTAGAAGGAAAAGCTTTACTTATAACACCCCCCCCCCCCCCAGTGTGAGACTTGAGAATTTGAAACACTTATGGCTCCAAGCATTTTGGATAAGGAATAGTCAGCCTGTATTGGGGGTTATCGGTGAGCCCTGTACTATGCTAGGGATGGGAAAACTAATTTAAATATGATTGCCCCAGAGGGCTTTCGGTTTAAGAATCTTTGGAGGTAAAACTGAAACCAGAGACTAAAGGGGCCTTACTGCAATAGGCTTGGTTGTGTACAACTTTTGAATAAAAGAATGGCAGCCTCACAAATTTACCTAGGGACATAAATCCAGTAATGTTTATGTAAGATGTACTGTAGTAAAAACACCATAGTGTACTCCAAGCTGGAGCTTTGGATACTGTTGATGGCAAAGGGATGGAGTAATTCATTCATGATCTGCATGTTATATGCAGGTTAGTATTTCTATGGAGGTACATCAAAGACTGAAGGTCTATTTTTTAAAAGTAATTTACTGTTTTATGTGTGAGTTCACATGCCATGGCCCACATGTGGAGGTCAGAGGCCAACTTTACAGAGTTGGTTCTCTCCTTCATTGTGTGGACCCATGGATCAAACTCAGGTCATCAGGCATGGCATCGAGCTCCTTCACCAGCCAGCTGAGCCTCCTCGTCAGGCCCAGGTTAAAAGAGCTTATTAAGCCTTTTCCTTTTAACATCACATTTTGGCATGCTTTATTGAGAAATATAGAAAACTAAGGGGCAAAAGAAGAAAAACATGCAAATAAAGAGGAAAATGAGAAAAGATGTACAACAAATGGCTGAAGAAATGAATATAATTTAAAGGAGATGGTACTTAGGTGGGTGTGATGGCACTTACCTTTAAATTCTGCACCTAGGAGATAAGTGGATTTCTGTGAGTTTTGAGACAGTTTGGTCTGTATAATACGCTGTAGGCCGGCCTGGGCGACACAGCGCAACCCTATCTAAAATAACAATTTTAAAGAGACATTTGAAGAAGAATTATATGGAAAGTATTGACCAGTGTTAGTTTCCTTTTTATTTATTTAGGACACACAGTGATGACCTTACTGGGTGTCAGTCAGGATATGAATATGGGAATCCAAGAGGCTTGGGTTTAGCGTGTAAAGAAACCATGAATTGTAACTCACAGCTCTAGGCTCCAGTCTGTCACTGCAGGGAGCTTAGGTGGTTGGAGACTGAAGCAGCTGCTGGAACCCTCCAGCATTTGGGGAAGGCTTCTCCAATTGCTTACATTAAGAATCCTGTTTACAGAAGGGAAAGTGTCCACCGTGGTGAGAGAAGAGGGTCAGCAGGAGCAGGGATGAGGATGGCTCTAACATGGTATCAGTAGTCTGGAGGCAGAGGCAAGCTTTGATGAAATATTAGATGCACGCACACAGAGTCTAAAGGGAAAAGCAAGAAAGGAATGAGTTACAGTGTGCCTTGTCTCCATAGTGACCTTGTGAGTGAGTGTGAGGGCACATGTGTACTAGTTTGTTTGGTGTCAACTTGACAGAACTAGAATCATCAGAGAGGACAGAGCCTCAGTTGAGGAAATGCCTCCATGAGATCCAGCTGTAAGTCATTTTCTCAATTAGTG